TTTTTTCCTATTAAATAAAACATAGAATCTGAATGTGAGGTTTTTTTTACATATTGTAATGATGAACCTGTTAGAAAACATTTAAGGAACTGAAATTCTGCAAACATTTATTACATAATATCTTTCCGTATATGCCATGTACTGTAAGGGACATGTCAATTCCAACCTAAAGAACACTCAATCTTGTTCCCTTTTCACTACAAACAGGTCTTGCTGTCTCTAAGCCACACCTGGTGACATTTCTGGAGCAAAGACCAGACCCTTCAGACGGGGAGAGACAAGCAGCAGCCACCGTGCACCCAGGTGTGTAGGAATGAGGGGTTCAGGGGCAGAGTTGAGACCCAAAGATCCAGCAGAAAGACAGGCTTTCCCTTGTGCCTTGCAACATGATACTATGAGAATAATTCTTTAGGATCTTTCTGGAATGAGTCTTCTCTAAACTTCTGCTAATGAATGACTCTCAGTCTGACAAACACATTGGCTTCTCCTTCCCTGAGTCTTCCATGGCAATGGAAACTCAGCAAAAAGGGAAACTTTGGAAGTCACTGTAAGTAGAAACAGAGCTCGCTGTTGGGAAAACACAGAGGTTAAGAGACTTAAACCCTCATAAACCTCTGAGACATGTGTTTTCTTCCTCTTGTTGTCCTTGCTGTTTTCAAGACAGGGTTTCTCTGTGCGGCCCTGGCTATGTAGACCAGGCTGGCCTTGAACTCACAAAGATCTTTCTGCTCCTAAGTACTGGATTAAAGGTGTGCATCACCACTTCCAGCCCAATACCAGTTTCTTCAACCACATCTGATTTTAATATTACTCTTTATTATGCAAAAAAAAGTTGGGCCCTCTTTTGTTTTAGTTATCTGCTTTAGGCTTTGTTGTTGGATTTTCTTTTTTTCAGACACTATGTTAGAATGCCGAAGTGTTGTCTGTTGCTTTTCACTCTTACTCTTTTGTTTTTTACTCTCTTGGAGGCCCCGCCACCCAGCTCCCAAATAAATCTCACATAGAGCCTTATGCATAGGTGATGCTGGGCATGAACTTGGCTTGTCAAACCAGCTTTTCCTAAATTAACACATCTACCTTTTGCCTTTGGGCTTTTGTCTTTCTTACTTTCACCCTTACTCCCTGTTTGCCTGGGTAGCTAGGTGACTGGCCCCTGATGTCCTTGTTCTCCCCAGATTTCTTCTCCTATTTATTCTCTCTGCCTGCCAGCCTCTCCTATCCGTTTTTCTGCCTTGCTATTGGCTGTTCAGAGCTTTATTAGACCATCAGCTGTATAGACAGGCAAAGAGTCACAGATTCACAGAGTTAAACAATATGGCACAAACAAAAGCAACACATCTTTACTGTTAAGCAAATGATCCGGCACATAAACAAAAGGAGCACGATTAATAAAAACTCAGACACAGAAATGAGGCTTCACCATGAAGGACTGAAAAGCAAAACAGCTAGCCACTGGCACTTAGAACTATGCCAGTCTGCAGTGGCGATCCTGAGCCCAAATATCAGAATGAGACTGAGGGCTGTCTCATGTTCTACAGTCCTCTAGTTCTGGGATTAAGGGCATGCAGCACTACTCCCTGGTTTCTATGGCAACATAGTGAGGCTACTGGGTTAAAGGTGTGTGTCATAGCTGCCTGATATGTAAGGCTGGCCAGTGTGGCTGTTTTACTTTTCTGATCTTCCAGCAAGCTTTATTTATTGAAATACAAATGACATACCACTACAAACAAATATAACACACCTTAAAATAATTTTCCACAGCAAGGCTTGACTTTCCTGGCATGTCCAGAGGACAGTATAATGGAAGGTAGAAATTTTATTCTCCCTCTCATATTGTGTCTGTTGATGAATCAGATTTGTATATGGCGTGAATGTATACATCTGTATTTAGCATGAATAGAAAGACAACTTTAGGCACACCAAGTGTATTTCATCTCCTCACTTAACTGTTCTCTCTTAATTACCTTTGTTGTAACAGCTTGCAATAAATTAGTGATTTTCATCAGATTAGGACTTGATAAATGAAAGTAATTCATCTTTGTTAAAAAATTTCACACTTACTGGGCAGAGGTGATGCACACCTTTAAGACCAGCACTCATGAGGCAGAGACAGGTGGATCGCTCTGAGTTTGAGGCCAGCATGGTCTAGAGGAAGAGTTTCAGTACTAATGAGTTCCCTTGGTACTGAAACTAATGCAGCCTCAGAGAGGATGCTGGCCCCTCTCATGGAGCCCAGGCCGGACGACAGCAGAACCCACAGCCTCCAGCAGCCTTGAGAGTGACTGACTCTCTGTTCCACAGAGATGACAAAAGACGTGGATTTACTGAAGATTTTATCATTACTTCTTCAGTTAACATCTTTACTCTTAGAAGGAGACCCCAGGGAAGGAGTCGCTGTCAGGAGATTTACCAGAATCTGGACCAGACAGAAATACCCACGCCGCCAGTGCGGTGGTGGCACACACCATTAATCCCAGCACTCAGGAGGCTGAGACCATTAGATTGCTGTGAGTGTGACACCAACCTAGTCTACAGAGGGAGTTTTAGGACAGGCGTCAAATCTTCAGAAAAACCCTGTCTCACACACACACACACACACACACAAAAAAAAAAAAAAAAAAAAAAACAAAACCCTGAACCTACCCCATTGGAGGACAAGAAGGACAAGGTTGGGTTTGTGTCAGAAATACATTGGTTGTCCCAGCACTCTCTAACACTAGTTTAATTGGGTTTATAAAGCCACAGTTTCATCATACTAGACACAGGGGTGGAGTGGGGGACCAATTTGAATGGAAAACCTTTAGTTCCATTGAGCCAAACAATTTGCTTTGTGAGGTAAAACAATGGATCTTCCACAGTTGCCAGGGAGGCTGCCTGAGAACATTTTCTCAGCAGGATTTAGTTTGGGGAACAGGTGTGTAAAACTCAGGGGAAACTGAGTCACTTTGGGTAATTCACTAACAGATTCCATATGTTTTCTGCACATTTGAAAAATTGCTCACATTTCTAAACATCTAGGTATGAAACTAACTTCACGCGTGAGTTTCTTTCATGTCGCCTACACTCACCTTGAGGAAAGTCACCCCACCAGAGTTCTTTGTCTTTGAAGAAATATCGAACTTTTTTCTTTATCATACACTAAGTAATAAGGATATAAAATTCATGCCCTTAGTGGATGCATATTCAAGGATTTAAACTGTTTGTAGCTGGGAGTATTTGTTTAATAATTCCCCAGTAAGCTTTCTAAACTTTGTGGGTTCAAATTTCTTTTCTTCACTTTGCAATTTGATCTTCTTTGGTATTATTTGGAGGTGTGTATAACCTATAATATAAGCATTAGTTATGCGTTCTCTATGTATACTGGTAGATGGAAAAAACATATTGATAAAGTATATAAGGATAATATAAGATTAAAAAATACATACGAGCTCAGCTTTGAATTTCTACTTCATTGGAAAACACAAGTTTCTTGTTTCTGTGCCATGTTCATTCTCTCTCTCTCTATTTAGGACTCAGTAGTTGTTTATAATCTCACATTCACACAATCACATTTAACTTTCTCTTTTCCAGGTTTGACTGCTTTATAGTTTAAATGGGTGTCTGGCCACAGAACAGCTCTGTTCTTTAATGGGTTTATTTCTGTTAGTAAAATGCCCTTACAATGCACTTAGCTATTTAACATTGAACACTATGCCATTATTTCTGTTCCATTTGGTTGTGCCCTGATTTTAGCAGAAGGATACATTATTTCTTCCTCCAATACTTTGTAATTTATGCTCAGTGCCTATATGTTTTGAAATATATACTTTCTCATTGATGCTTCAAAATGTATGAGTATTTCCTCTTAAAAATATAAGAGTGGGAAATATGAAGAACATTTCCTTACTTTAGTTCATATCTCAACTTTTGCTCAACAGGAAAAACACCCAATGATTATAACATTTACAACAAGGCTACTGTTTGTAACTTAGTATGTATTCACCGCCAGAGAATTCGCAGAAGGGAGAAACAGTACAAATGTGAAGAATGTGGTAAGAGCCTTAGTTCTCAAAGGAATCTTTCCATACACCAGAGACTTCATACAGGAGGCAAACCCTTCACTTGTGAAGAATGTCACAAGGCCTTCAATACTCGCTCATCACTTTTTATACATCAGAAAAATCATACTGATGAAAAAACCTACAAGTGTGGAAACTGTGGCAGATCATTTTACTATCCTTCAATGCTGAAACAACATCAAAGAATTCATTCTGGGGAGAAACCCTACAAGTGTGAAGAATGCGGCAAATCCTTTACCTCATTTCCATACCTTAGAGAACATCGAGCAACTCACTCCAAAGACAGCCCCAACAAGTGTGCCAAGTGTGGCAAAATATTGTCCTCTAAGGGAGCACTGAAGAGACATCAAGTGGTTCATTCTAGAGAGATACCCTACAAGTGTGATGAATTGGTGAGCATGTAACTATCTGTAGGGCTGCAGAAACAGCAACAAGTTCCTTCTAGAAAGAGATCATACAAATGTGAAGTATGTCAGAAACCCTTTCCTTATCGCTCATCCCTTCTGAGACACAAGACAGTTCATACTGGAGAGAAACCCTACAAGTGTGAAGAGTGTGGCAGAGGTTTTTACTTCTCTTCATCCGTTCAGAGACTTAAAAGAATTGTCCTTAAAAGACAATT